CCAAAATAGAAGATGACAAGATCCAGGAAGAGAAAAGTTCGGCGTCACCGCCGTACACTCACGCCAAAGATAACAATCCGCAACAAAGGTGAATTCGCCGTTAATTCCAATATGGCCCCGGGCCAATCAACTCAACATCGATCCTCATACCCGCACCGACGATCCCGACCGTCGCGTGCTAACTCCCACCACTGTGATCGTCACCCCGCTGTCATAAACTCGACACGGTTCACCCAGATCCCACAGTCCGTCATGGCGATCCAGCGCGCAACCGGCCAGTCTATCGTCAGCCCGACAGGACTTTCCGAATCGCTTCAAACACTCTGCCTAGCCACTGCTTCCTGGAAGCTGGCTTGAGAGTCGAGAACGTAAGAGAGCTTGGCGGGCGCGCTTGCGGGTTTTATAGTTGCGACAGAGGAGATAGAAGGGGGAGAGAACGACGGGAAGTTGGGGGTGTAGGAGGAGAAGGAGGAGAAGACTTTGAGAAGAGCGCTCCGAGAACGCCATGTTGATCCTTCGGAACTCAAGGTTCAACCAATCAGATTCGTCGCGCGATAGGAAGGTCCTATCGATCCACGCATCTGATTGGCGAGCGGGAGTTGTCGGGGGCTCGACTGGGAGTCGAACGCCAGACTCAAAGGGTGAGAAGAGAAAAGGCGCGAGAGGTGGCGCAAGACGGGTCCAAGATTCAGACGATCAAGAAAGGGAAATGGGCGCGAAAAACAGCAAGACGGGGGAGGGGGAGAGAGGAAGAAACAGTTACGGGGAGAGAGAAAGAGGAGGGAGAAGGAAAGGGAGCGCGGGAGGGAGCGATGCGGGGGACAGAGAGGAGAAAGCCTCTGCATGCGTGGCGCCGTCAACAAAAAAAAAAGAAAAAGGCACCGAAACAGTTACAGTTTGCTTCTATCCTAATTCAAAATTGAAATCACCATATCCGCGCGCGAAAAAGCGACGCGGGAAAAATCCTACGCCGATTCGTATTCACGCGAAATTCCGAGAGTTTTCCCCGACGCGCCCAAGAACATTCACACACCCAAAAAGGACACGTCGAAGTTCCGCTTATCCCGGAATTCCCAACTACCGAGCTTAATTCCCAGTGCGCTCGTTAAGGCGCAGGTAAATTCCCATGTATTTTCCGACTTTGCAAGAAGAAAAACAGAACTCAGCAGTCGAAAAAGCTCTCAAAAAGGAAAATGCGGCACCCGAAAGCAAGAACTCAAAACGGGGTTTTCCTGGGGTTGGTATGATACAAGCAAAGGAAAGGGTACGAAAGATGGCACGGGGCCGGGAAGTGGTTCATCACATATGTGACGCGCAGGGGGTTCCAAAATCATGCGATCTCCTGATTGCATGGAATGGCAAAAGAAAGAGGGGAGAACAGAGTGATGCATGAGGAACCAAGCGTATCAACAGGGCAAAAGAAGTACAAGGAACGATAACTGGGTCGCGGGTGAGATGGCGACAACATCCATGGCAAGATCTCTGTAGCCCCGTCATATGCAACCCTTTGCCTCGTGGAGATCGTCCTGGTGACGCCATCATGGTCCACCTGATATCCGTGTGCTCTTCACCCTTGCTCGTTGCCATCTGTCGAATCAACGCGTAGGTTGACGTCATTGTTGATGGCGTGGACTTCGCGAAGCTTACCGATTCGTGTCGGTGAAAAGAGGAGAGAAAAAAAAGGGGGGGGGGGTCAAGTGAATGGGATCTACCGCCTAGCTGGAATAGGCCAGTAGAGGCGGTACATGCCGGGGATCTCGCGCGGACGACGGGAGGGGAGTGGGGGTAGGAAGCGATTCATCCCTTCCATCGTCACTAGGAGCTCCTCATATCGGATGATCCGGTGGAAGCGGGGGAAATGATCGCCACTGCGGGGGAGGGAAGCGAGGTAATCACGATCGAAAGAGGAGAGGGTGTGGAAAAGCGCCGCCCGAAAGATCTTGAAGTGTCGACAGACGGGGATTGTCCCCGTGGCAACGCAGTAGACTTCTACGACGTTGGATCGCTCCCATGCAGCGCTGAACAACAGGAGATGCTAGCAGAATGTGGGAGCAGCGGACTGAAGGGAGGCGTGAGGATGGACGGTGGCGAGTAGACGGGTAGAATAGAAGTCGCGAAAGAGGTGGGGATGAAAAGGGTGGGAAGGGAAGGTGACGGGGGTACGGATCTGCTCAAGGGTGAGAAAATCAAGGGGTCGACGGGGCAGCGTTCGAGGTCGAAACCCTATCGCCCGCATTGGTACGTGGGCGAACTAGGGGACGGGTGGGGTTGGAGGAGGGGGGGGATCGGCGCCGTCTTCGTCGCGCGGTACTTGAGGTGGCGGCTGCAGGGTCGCCATCCTCGTCTGTGTCGCCGTCGTCGTTGATCACCACTTCTTCTGCCCTCGGGTAGAAGGCGTAAGGGATGATCTCGTACGGCTTCAGATACTCCTGCCGCGATGGTAGCGTATCCTCGTCCCTAGGTTCCTCCAAGCACGAAGTCCACTGAAGGTAAGGATCCAGGGATCGCTCGAAAATATACGGAGCATGACTGTTGTCACTCTGAAAGTAAATGTCGGGCGAGAGATCGTCCGCCAATTGCACGATCGGTGCAATGAGTTCTTGTGCAATCAGCTGACGGCGACCCGGTTGTACCGATCCAAAGAGGAATCCAATAAGATCTCCTTCCGCGTTAGTCGTCGAACCCTGTATGATCAACAGCTCCGGATTCTCGATCCACGTGGGATGCTCGCTAGTGCCCGTCCACGTCACCTGTACTTTGGCCAAGCAAAAGGACAGCTTCTCAAAAGTTTCGCTCTACAATCGCCAATGTCCAGGAATGATAAGAGGGACTGAAAGAGGCTCGAACGAGAAGGAAAGAGAAGGGTGAAGATCGGATTGCCAGAAGGTGGGGAAGAGAGAGGGGAGACCAAAGGTAGAGAGAGGAGCGAGACGAACAACGTGGTTCATTGGGGATGGGGGAAGGGGACGATGGTCGGGATCTCAACTGGCCGCTCGCGCGGTGATCGGCGAATACCATCCAGGTCCGATGCGACGATCGGGATGATGTTATACCCCTCCCGGGCGAGGACGTGCTGCCATACGTTGGACACTTGCTCCGTCCACTCGCGCAACGAGGCCAAGATCGCGGTATGCCGCAACGGATTGACCGAGGCTGATGTCGCCGGTGAATCCCGCCACTGTGGTGACAGGGCTCGTTCTGGGACCCGCAAGCCGATGAACTGTGGTAACCTCCGCGAACACTTTTGCGCGAGGACTTCCTTCGATTCGAAACGTGGCGGCGGCACAGATACCTTCGTCGCAGAAGAATCGCATTAAACGCCGAAGATCCGTATTGAGCCGAGGGTGACAAACTTGCCGAATCTTTGAGATGTGGCCACGTGGCTGCAACAGTTGAATGTCAAGAACCCGCTCCGTGATAAAACTCATGGCGAGGTTGGAGAGGAGGACGAAGGACAAGAGGGAGAAAGACGGGAGAAAGTTAGATCGTCGTCGTTATCCTCACTTTTCGAGGAAGGAGAGGGAGGACGATCGGAAAGAGGAAGAAGACGGAGGTAGGAGGTATGCCGGACGATGGGGACAGAGCTATAGCTGGCGCTAGCCTCAGGCGCGACGCGCACCGTGTTAGCGTCGTTGGGTCCGAGTTCGACAACGCGAAAACAACCAGAGTACTTGGGAGCGAGTTTCCGGTCGCGTGCACATTTACGTACCTGCACTAGGTCCCCTAATTCATATTGGTACTGGGGCCCAGCGTTTCCATTCCGGGCCTTGTAGCTACGGACCTGTCTACCGTGGGCCAGCTCGGTCATCCTTTGCCTTTTTCGGGCTAGCTTCGGAACGGCCCGTTCCATCAAATCGGTGTACCTTTTGGCCTTGGCCTTGAGGGCCGCACACGTGTCTCTACCCCTTGCTTCGGCAAATTCCAAGTTGCCCCGGTAATCGACTCAGGGGAGGCTATTAGTTCGAAGCTGAAAGGGGGTAAACCTCGTAGACTCGTGAGGGGTGGCCCGGTGGATCCTGACGATCTGATACACGATTACGGGCCAAGGACTCGTGTCGTGTGCCGCTAAGTTCCTGCGAAGGGCGGTTTTAATCATACGGTTGGCATTCTCGGCCAACCCGTTCAACTGGGACACATGTGGTGCCGTATGTCGGAGCATGACGCCCCTTCGCGCAAGCAGTTCTTCTACCTCGCCTTTAAATTCAGATCCATTGTCGGTTAGAATTTCTTCCATATCTAGATGGGTATAGAGGAACCGTTCGATGTACGTGGCTACTTCTGCGGCTTTTCGGGTCTTACAGGGATAGACCTCGATGTACTTGGAAAAATGGTCAATTAATACTAATAAAATAGAATATTCACAGCGGTTTGGGCCAGGTGGCACGTCAATATCTGTCATGTCCATACTGACTCGCTGAAAAGGACGCTCTACTTCCGTTGGTACGATTGTGTTTGGTCTTCGTATAGGGGCGCGATCAGCGGCACAGACCGGACAGTTAGCGACAATGTATTTGACATCACCTCGTATATTGGACCAGAACCATCGATTCTGGTCTACAGTTGCCTCCGTGACACGTATCGCGAAATGAGCGGCCTGTTCCTCGTGAGCAGATCGGATCCAATCGTATCTCTGGAAGGGATGGGGAACTGTCAGCCACGAACCCGATCCGTCAGTTTTATGCTTTTTCAAATGACCGTTGATCCATCGATAGTCCCGAGATCTCTCGGTCGCCCTACGTCTGTCGTGTTTGGTGAGATGGCCCAATGATAATCCCGCTAATT